AGCACACCCCATAGAGGGCACACTCCACAGAGGGTTTCACATTTTCCCCGTCAACAAGTCTATATTAGGTTTCTCATTACTGTGAGCAAAGATCTGAAAAGAAGCAACTTAGAAAAGGAAGAGATTCCTTGGACTCATACTTTGAGGGAGCAGTGGAGACATGGTGGTAGGAACCATTGATGTTTAAGGAAAGAGGCTGTGGCTGCTTGAGGAGGCAGTCACACTATGCTCCACACCCCACCCAGTAACCCACTTCTCTAAGCTAGAGAAGTCTCCAGGGTTCTGTAATGTCCCCAAGCACCACCTGCTAGGGATCAACTGTTCAAACACAGGAAGACTGTGGGAACATTTCAAATCTAACCCATGATAGAGACGCCCCCACTTACCTGTGTCTGACAGAATGCTGACCCTCCAGGGAGGAGGGTAAGTCTGATGCATAGAGTGGGAGGTGAGAAAATCCACAAGCATTAGGGAGGGATTGCACTCATTGCTGGGTTGGAACATAGTAACAAATTAACCAATCTGTAAGGAATTCAAGTCCTTTTATAGCAGATTTAGAAACCTTGTGTTAAAATGCATTCATTTCTCATCTGTTCTCACCAAATGGCTGAAAGAGAAGTCTGGCATCGCTGCTGTTATTTTGTGTGTGTTTTCTCTCCTCTCCTTTCCTCTCTCCTCTCTCCTCCCCTCCCCTCCCCTCCTCTCCCTTCCTCTCCTCTCCTCTCTTTTCTCATATCAATGAGCACATTTATTACTCAAGGAGAGCTGAAAGAAGAAAGCTGTTACCTTGAAATTGCAGCTATTTTAAATTGTTATTTTATTTTTTTATTATTTTACAACAATATGTTACCATATACTATATATCATGTGATATTTATAATATATATAATTTATAATAATTTAGTGACCCTAGCTAAGACACCTAGCATTGGGGGATATGTGTTGCTGGCCAGCAGCCACAGTCAACCAGGTTCACCTGAAAGAGAGGCTGGGAATGGAAGAAAGGACAGGAGGGCGGGAAGAGATGAAGCCAGGACAAAGGTTTCTGATCGAGAGGCTCAATGCTTTAATGTTCAACTTTCAATTTAAAGGGGAAAACCTACCCCCACCCCCAGAGTTCCTTCTTGCTTCAGCCGGCTGGGGGTGAGGGGAAACCATCCTGCTGGAGGTGAGAGGAATCCATCCTGCTGGGGGTGAGGGGAATCCATACTTAATTGCAGGCTGGAGATGTCTCAAGGCAAGCTCAGCAGGCAGTCTATTCTTCTCAGCTTGTGTACCAGGCTACAGGCAGCCAAGGAGGTGCCAAGGCAGGCAATGCCAAGGCAGGCAATACCTCTGGAGTCCTATTGTTTGGTCTATTGTGGTAAACAAGGTCTCTCAGGCCTGCTCAAGGCTGGGGGAAGGACACAGATATGGAGCCTTAATCAGCTGTCTCCTATAACCAGGCAAGACTTTCCAGTGGAGGGACTGGGACATCAGCCCAGCACAAAGCCTAAGACCCACAGTTTGTCCTGCCTACAAGGTGTGCAGGAGTAGGGAAGTACTAACCAATGACTGGCCCAGCTTGAGACCCATGCCATGAGAGGGAGCCCACCCATGACACTATTAATGATATTTTGCTATATATACAGACAGGAGTCTAAAATAACTATCATTAGAGAAAGCTTCATCCAGCAACTGATGGAAACAGATGCAGAGACCCACAGCCAGACATTAAGTGGAACTTAGGGAATCCTGTGTAAGAGATGGAGAAAGAATTGAAGGAGCCAGAAGGGTCAAGGACACCACAAGAGAACCTACACAATCAACTAACCTGGGCCAATAGTTGCTTGCAGAGACTGAACTGCCAACCAGAGAGCATGGGATGAGGCCCTCTGCACATATGTAACAGGTATGCAGCTGGGTGTTCACGTGTTCCTAAAGTGGGAGCATGAGCTGTCTCTGACTACACTGCCTGCCTTTGGATTCCCTTCCCCTAACTGGGCTGCCTTGTCTAGCCTCAACAGATGTGCTAGTCTCTTACTGCAGCTTGATATACCAAGGCTGGTTGATATTCATGGGAGGCCTCCCCTTTTCTGAATAGAAGGGAAGAAGGGGTGGATGTGGGGGAGGGGAGGGGAGAGGAAGGGACTGGGAGGATAGGAGAGAGAGGAAACTTCGCTCAGGATGTAAATAAATAACTTAATTAAAACAAATTTGTTCCCATTACCACCATGAGGCAGAGGCAGTCCTCTGTAAGTTCCAAGCCAGCCAGGTCTACATAGAGTTCCAGGACGGACGAATGAGACCCTATCTCAAAAAAACAATTAAAAAGGACTTATGACTTATTTTAATTATGTGTATGTGTGTGAGTATATACACATGTATGCAGTTGCTCACTGAGGCCAGAGGAGGATGTTGGATCTCCTGAAGCTGGCACTAGAGTTACAAGTGATTTCCAGCTGCGTGGCATGGGTGCTGGGACACAAACTCAGAACTCAAGTCCTCTGCAAGAGCAATATATATTTTAACCACTGAGCATTTCTCTAGCCCCTACCCAGGCTTTAAAACAAACAAACAAACAAACAAACAAACAAACCCAGTCATGCTGGAAGTTCTAAGACTCTCAAGGGAAGACTCTATCCAAGTTGACTTGAGGAAACTCGGATGAGTTTTCTGAGGACCTCATGATAGAAGATTCCCGAGGGCTGTTGTGAATTGGCATTCTTTACTTACAAGACCAAGAAACTTGATATAAGGAACATAGCTAGTTTTCCAGGGCTACCTATTGGCCTGTTTTCCTAAAGCTTTCTGCTCAGATTGGATAAGATATTCCAGCTTGTGGATTTTTTTTTTTCTTTCTGAATGCGAAATCTTGGCACAGGCTTGTGTTTGAACTTTGGTTCAAACTTTGGTTACCACCCAATGGTGCTATTACAGAAGGCTATAGACCCCTAGGACATGGAGTCTCACTGGCTGGAAGTGTGACCCACTGTCTCATGTGCCTGGCATAATACCTTCTTTGACATGATGAACTGTTTCCCCTCAAACTGTAAGCCAAAGCCAATCCTTCCTCCAGTGCTCTGTTCAAAAGCCTTTCTAGGCATAGTTAATAATCCCAGCACTTGACGCAGAATTATGGCAAGTTTGAGGACGTCCTGTGGGCTACATACTGAGTTCAGGCCTCCCTGGGCTCCAAAGAAAGACCTCATTTCAAAACAACAACAATAAAAAAAATACCTATGAGGACACTGGGTGCTGGCCATCATCACTGAATAACAGACCATTGCTGTAAGCAGCTGTATCTCACACTGAGCGGCCCTTGATTCAACTCTCCTTATAATCAACTCTACACTTATCTGTCAGTTGTTCTCATCTATTGTTTTTTTGCTTATGAGGACAGATGGCAGTTTAAATGTGAATTCTTGGGGCTGGAGAGTTGGCTTAGTGGTTAAGATCATGTACTGCTTGAACTGCTTTTCCAATGGATTAGAGTTCCATTCTTAGCACCTATGTCAAATGCCTACAATCTCATTGTTAATAACTCCAGCTCCAGGGGATTCGACACCCTCTTCTGGCTTCCACAGGTAATTCACATGCATACGCGCGCATGTGCACACACACACACACACACACACACACACACAAAATTACAGATAATTATTTATAGTCTTATCAGTACAGTGTAATATCCATCATTCATTTTTGCTTTTAGATATGTGTGCGCCATTCCTGCTTAGCTACCCTGGCAGATGCCACGTGTCTCTCTCTATATGGGCACTCAGGTTTCTTGAACCCATACATGAGTAATATCAGGCAAGTCTATACATCAATAATATCTTATGACCAAAATTTTACCCAAAAGCATGTTTCTTTCTGTCTTATTGTTCCATGTGTGAAGTTGCATCCAGTGAAATCTACATTGTGACAACTCTCAAATTTGCTCAGCTCCATCCATGGTTTTGAGCTCTCTAAACACTTACATAATTTAAAATTATTATCTTTGTTTTGGAAGCTGGAGAGATAGTTTTTCCTATTTTTTAATTTATATAAAAATATTCATGGCTGGAGAGATGGCTCAGCAGTTAAGAGTCCAATTCCCAGCAAACACATGGTGGCTCACTGTCGCGGATAGCCCTGGTCTTGTATTTTGATGCTAATTCTGCTTTCCTGGGATGGGCTGCAAAATGAATCAGTATACTATACAGGTGATTTCCTATGAACCTCCTGCCCACCTTAATTTGTAAAATAAAAGCCAGTGATTGGCCAGCAGAAGGGGAGGTAGAGGGAAAAAGTTTAGGGGAGAGGGAGAGAGAGGAAGAGGAAGGAAGGAGAGAGGCGAGATGGCAGGAGATGGTACCCTAGTGTCTCTATCCGTTATTCATATAAAGGTTAGATAATTGGGTTAACAATTTTAATCATGGGTTATCTTGTGTATTGAGTATCTGTTGATATATAAATCTATTGGGTTAATCTTTAAACCTTAAGAGCCTACTGGGTCTGGGGTTGAGCCAAGCACTATGAGGGTGTCGGAGATTCCCTAGGTTTTGGGGGCCGGATGCCATGGAGCTGATTGGGCGGAGGCAACAGCCATGCCAACGTCTCGTGGGTTCAGGGCAGGCATTTCTGGCCAGCTGCCATTAGTGTGGGAACTTAGAGTGGGAACATGACGGCTGGGAGTGCCCCGCTTTTTCAAATACCTCCCACAACAGCTCACAACTACCTGTAATGGGACCTGATACCCTCTTCTGGTGTGTCTGAAGAGAGTGACTGTACTCACATACATAAAAAATAAATCTTAAAAATTAAAAAAAAAAAAACTCATAACTTGGCATGCTATTTGGGAAGCTAATACAGGAAGATCAAGGGCAACCTTGTCTCAAAATGACAAAAGGCTGGGATGTGGCTTCACAGCCAGCTTCTTGCCAGGCACACAAGTCCTCATACATGTTCAGTCTCCACCATCACAAGAAAGCTAACAACTTTCTAACTAGTTAAAGGGGAAAAAAAGCCATTCAAAATCAGATAGAAATTGTTTCTTTTTAATTGAATTACTTCATTCAGACATTCCTCTGTTGGCTTCTGCTCTGGAAGCAGCTAGGTCCCCACCTCAGTATCACAACTGAGTGAACATGGGCCCCAAACCAGGGCTCTCAGAATAGCAAAACAAGAAACTGCAAGAAACCCCGCCTCTCCTTTCACTTAGGAAGGACTGGGAGTCACAAGGTCCAATCCCACCCTGCAACTGTAGGCACTGGAGCCTGGACTGCATACACAGAAACTCAGCAGTCAGGAACAAGGCAGCAGCCCCATGCGCTCCAGCAAGCACCTGACCACCAGCCTCTTCCAGTAGGAATGGACCCACACTTAAAGGAGTTTTGGCATCTATTTACTTAATTTCCCAAAGAGGTGTAAAATCTACCAAAAGGGATACAATGGATCAGAATAGATCAGCTTTCTCACGATAAACTTTCCTGAGTAACAACTTTTGGTTGCTGAGAAGCCTCAGCACATTATTTCAAAGTGGCAAAATCCAGGACAATCACAGAATAGTACATCCAGGAGTGGCCTAACATTTAAGGACTGGATTATGCAGGACACAGGTGCACAAACCCCCTTTTCTTCAGTGTATATGGCCAAGACCCCGATCATTAAAATAAGTTATTTTGTATATTACAGTGCACAGAGGGAAAGAACTTTCACAGAGGTGACCAAAAGGCATTGTATATAAAGTCCCATGGTGAGTGGCAGCCAGGGCCTGTGGCCTTCAGGAGCTTGCCTCCTGCTCTTTGGCTGCAGAGACCTTATTGTCAGCTGTCTCCTCCACCTGCTCCACTGGCTTTGTCTCCTCTTCCTCCTCCTCATCTTGGGGATAGAGGTCTGGGTATTTCTGCATGCACTCTTGCATGGCCCGGAACTGGTCTATACAGTCTGATCCTTTGATATCCTCTGTGCTGTAGTGGAAGCAGGAAAAGGCAGACTTGAACTGCTCCCCACAGGGGCCGCTGGCCATTCCCCCAAGACATGGGCAATTCCAGTTAATATCTCCGTTAGGCAGTATCAACCCTGGAACACAAAGATCGAAAGGGAAGGATGAGAGGTGTTCTCTATGATCTTGAACATGCAAAACCTGGTTGGTCCTTACTGTGTGGCGGTATCCCCTGTGACCTCGATGTGTCTGGTCTATTTTCTAAGCCACCTCCCAGTCCTAGAATCTGAACTCTGAGACTTAGATACCAGGAATCTCCTAAGCCAAGTACTAATCCCCCAGGTCCTGCTCCATCCCCCAGTCCCTTACCATATGTTCTGTTAATACAGCCTAGAGATTAGTGTAAACATATGGATGTGAAGAGATCTTAAAAGTTGCTGTACAGTGCAAAGCAAGTGCGGTTAGACTAGTAGGGCTGTATTCTTCCTATAAAAAAATCAAACATTAGGGTTGGGGTAGAACACAGAGGTTGAGCAGAGCCTAGTATTCACGAGACCCTTGGTTCCATCCCCAACCTGTAAGTTAAGTTAAGTGATTTATCATGAACGAGCTGGGAAGTCAAGCTATAGATAGTTTTTGAGTAAATACTACACTGACTTCTGCTGAGCGCCTGCCTCCAGTGTTGAATCTCAGCACTATAAAAAAGGAAAAAGGTCTATACAAAGCCCACTGAAATGCCACATGATCCTTTATTCCAGTAGCAAGTATGGGAGAGGCTGTAGAGCTAGTGTTCGAAGTCCTTGGCTTAATCCTGCCTCTTAACTCCAGCTCTGAAAGCTGCACTGATCAGCAAATCTGTCCCAACTGTTCCTTATTTACAAATGTAATGGTGCCCCTGAGCAGGAAGCTCATCACCAACACCACACCTCCAGAGTAAGTACCTGTACACAAAGCTGTGTGACAACTCAAGTGGTTCTTCTGACACTATCTGCAGGTTTCTGGTTCAGAGGCCAGAATAGGCCAACAGCAGGACCTATCAGATCCCCAGAGCCCCAATACTACCCAGCTACTTGCAACCTCTCAGAGACACAATGTTAGTACTGTAGGTTTTAGCATGCTAACTCACAGAACAGCTTTCAAAAGAAGTTAAGATTAGGCTGGGCGGTGGCGCGAGCCTGTAATCCCAGCACTTGGGAGGCAGAGGCAAGCGGATTTGTGAGTTTGAGGCCAGCTTGGTCTACCGAGTGAGTTCCAGGACAGCCAGGGCTACACAGAGAAACCCTGTCTCGAAAAACCAAAAAAAAAAAAAAAGTTAAGATTAACACTTAAAAAGCCCAGATGGTAGCTGTGGTGGAACACACTGTGACCCCAGCCTGAGCTACTGTTTTGGGACAGGGTCCTGGCTGTACTGGAACCAGCTTGGTAGTCCAGACTGGCTGGCCTTGAATGCCCAAGTGCTCCTGCAGAGGAACCAGGTTCCATTTCCAGTACTGATATGGTGGCTCACAACCATCTGTAACTCCAGTCCCAGGGGAATCTAACACCCATTTCAGACCCTGGCAAGCACTTAATGCATATGTAAGCAAAATATTCATACACATAAAATAATTTTAAAATAATAATAATAACTCAAAACACAACTCAGGTCTGCAGAGTCTGGCAGAGGACAATGTGAATTGGGACATATAACACACATCCACAAGATGGCAGCTTTAGCAGTTTCGGTGCAGAAGTGCACATAAACACTGTCTGCTCACACCTTCAGAACATATGTAACATATGTGCAGCTAATGAGGACTCAAGGTAAACAAAAGACTAGAACTGACAAGAGTTCATTCTTTTTCATTAAGGCTGACTTGGGGTCAGCTACAGCTGTCACTTTCATAACACTAACACTCTGACATCTGACTTGCCATACTCCCAACAAGATGCTACTAGGTACTCACCCTTAGCTTAGCAGTAGTTAAACAGAGGAAGGGTCCCGCCTAGGAACATGCGTCTGCTTTAGATCAGGTCTGAAAACCTCTAACCACAAGCCAGTCCCTCAGGATTGCCTGCTTTAAGCTCCTCAATTTCACTCACCAGCAATTTTCACCCGAGGCACTTGTTCCAGGCCTGAATTGAGTCTTGTTGACACTGTGGACTGTGGACTGCCACATACACCTACCCTATACAGACTGGAGTAAGTATCAATAAGCCCATCTCAAAGCTAATAGAGTGGCATCCTGTGTCCAAGAGGCTACTGTTACATTTGGAGGTGAGCCTAGAAGTGTGTGACAGTTATGAGTAGCTTTGCTGATCCTGGTCCTGGCAACTGGGATCTGTTAAGACACCTCACCACACCATGTGCTCATGAGAGCGGGACCAGCAGCCTGGCTGCTGCTCTCTTGCAGGCAAATCAGCTATGCCAGGCTCACTCCAATAACCTGACAGAGCCGAGATCCCTGCCAGTCCTCACTTCAGGAAGCCAGACAGCCTCCCAGGCACTCTTAGTCACCTCAATACAAACACATAGAAGAAAAGAAACACTATTTTAGTAAGAAGAAAGTGTTGCCTGCTAGCTTGGCACAATCCCATCCTTTAGGAGGGAGAAAAAACAACCACAGAGCTGGACAGTTGTCCATGGCCAAAGGAGATAAACAATTTGGGAAAGGAGTGTTCAACACCAAGCCTCCCCAGGGTGTGCCTGTGGGCCCCTCATCTCTCACCGTGCTCCTCATAGGGGTCATTGGGGTCATCAGCCACCAGCTCTGCACTGCTAGGAGTTTCATGGTCTTCTTTGGTCACAAATATGATCTGATCCTTCCCTAGGATTTGGAGCAAAGGAAAACAGATTCATTGAGGGAAAGTAAAACACAGAATAGCCAACCTGAAGATGGTTCCCTGTGTCTTTCCCCTATCACCAACTAAACGGCCCAGCAGCCACTGATGAGAGACAGCTAGAATGAGAACAGTACTTAGGTGTTGGGGTAACCGGGTTTTGTTTGTTTTGTTTTTGTTCTGTTGACATAATATTGGTATTGCCCTTTCTATGGCCCACCACCAGCCTTATATTTGTGAATACTTGTCCTTCCTTCCACACCTGCTCAGATACTTGAAGGTCAGACATCCCGCTAAGCTTAGAGGCAATCTAGAATTGTATCAGAGGTTGTCTCGATGTTGACTGGTTGTAATGAGCTGAGGGCCAACAGCTGGGCAGGAGGTGAAACTTCTGAGAAAGAGAGGGATGCTGGGAGAAGAAAGCAGAAGAGGAAGATTCTATAGTGGACACAGAGCAGAGAAAGGTACAGTAGTGGGAAAGCTAGTCGGGTTAAGTTAGATGAGCTAGCATGGGAGACTGCTTAAACTTTAAACTATTTTAGAAGCCTCCATGTTATAGTTATACAGCTATATTTGGCGCCCAACCTTTCCTCAGCACCCACAATGCACAGGGGCTCATCTGTTTCCATGGTGGTCACTTGGAGAAGACTTGGACTGATTCAATTCTAGATCCCTGTGGCAGCCACTCCCTCCACCCACTACTCCTGAGAGGAACAGCAGTGCCCCTTTGTGCATGGTGGTGACTCACAGGGGCTGGAACTTCCAAAGTCCCTCAGTACCCACACTGTCCTCCCAAGCACAGAACATGACCGACATCTGAGCATAACAATAAAGAGAGACCCACCAATCCCAGCCCAAGCTGAGGAGGAAGAGGCAAAGGTCAATGTCTTCCCTGAGCTGTCTGATAGCTCACCCTGACCTCAGGGCACCTGGGATCACTTGACCCTCATCCAGAGGGCACACTGGAAGACGTTTTCAGGTCTGAGTAAACCTGCCCTGAGTGACTATGCTTCTGTGAAAGCTGAAGTCAGGCTGTAGACAGGTGACCCTTTGAAAGCTGCAAGCACTGTGTCCACTCCTCCATCCACATTTTGGAAAGGTCAGGTCCAGGCATGTGATGGAAAAGTAAGGCAAAGTGTTGGGTCTATGCTTAGGCTGGAATACCCAAGGAAGAGCCTGGAGAAGGCAAGTGAGGGGATATGTCTAAGAGGCTACCTCAGTGAAAAGGACAGTTAGGTCTCATGCACTGGTGGATAATAGCAATGGGTAGGTCTCAGTACATAGGACTAGCCCCAGTGACCCAACCTGGACTCTCTGTACGAGACAGTTTGGGTCTCAGCACCCAACAGTATGCCAGATTACTCCTCTTACAGATAAAGAAAGTATCTGGACAATGCCACTGGGTCACGTTAGAGTACCTACTGACCCTGGAGACTCTGGCCAGTTTCCAGAACCCCCAAAAGCATTTTCCATAACTGTTGAGTGCTAAGCAAAATCGGCAGACCTGAAGCTCTGAGCTCAGCCATGACAGTTGTGACCTGGGCTAAGCACAGACTCAAAGGGAAAGGGACAAACCTGGACAAGTTTCTGAAATACCTAGGGCAGCAGGTGATATATGCAGAGGCCAGACCTCACCCAATGAAGCGCAAACCCTATGGCATACCCACATGGCCTCTTGGCTCCTGGACACTGACACCCAGTCAGGTTGGGATGAAGGAGTTTAAGACTCCTTTACTCTGATCTGTGAGTTGTTAGCCCTCACACCCACGCAGGGGCAGCTCTCCTCTAATCTCCTTTCTTAAAATGGGAAACAGAAGCCCACAGGTGCTAAGAAAAAAACCTAAGCAAATAGTAAGGCCAGAGCAAGGGTGTGACCTGTGCTTTGAAGGATCCTAACTATGTCCCTTTAAAAATACTGTGTACTGCCAGCCTGGTCCCACTAGGCCTGTGCTTTCTGTAACGTTTAAAAGCAGATGCCAGGAGGCTGGGGTGTGACTGTGGGCTAGTACGTGCCCTAGGTTCCATCGCCAGCACAGTAAAATGAAAAATAAGAGCAGATGCAAGAAGAGACTAAAAAAAAAAAAAAATCAATGAGATTTACTTATTGAGATAGGGTTTCCTACGTAACCCAGGCTGGCCTAAAACTATGATTTTGCCTTGGCCTCTTGAGTTGATAGGATTATAGGTATGAACCACCACAACAGGCTTGAAGTAAGGGTTTTTGTTTTTAAAGATTTTTATTTATGTGATTTATGTGTATGCTGTGTGTGAGGGTGCAGCTCCTGACATGGGTGCTAGGACCCAAACTCAGGTACTAAGGATTAAGAGTTTGATATCTGAAGCTGGGTAGGTGGGTCTCTGTGAATTCAAGGACAGCCTGGTCTACAATGATGAGTTCTAGTCTAGACAAGACTACATAGTGAGAACCTGACTACAAATAGAAACGTAAAAGTTTGGTATTGGGCTAGAGAGATGGCTCAGTGATTGAGAGCGGTTCTCTGGGATCTCATGCCCTCTTGTGACCACCTCAGACACTAGGCACACAACTGACGCACATATATGTCAGGCAAAACATTTATATCTAAAAAGAACACCTTTTTAAAAAAGGAAAATAACTATTATGCCCATAAACTTTCAAAACTTCCCGCTCGTATCAGGACTTGAGGGGGAAATCGAGTCAGAGCTGACTATAATACAAGTATCAAGTGGAGAACTGGCTGGGGTAGGGATTGCCTACAGAAAGGGGGTGGGGGTGGGATCCCAGGGTTAGGATTCCATCTGGGGCTAGGATAGTTTAAAAAGGACTGGGGCCACTGCTCAGCCTGCAGTTTGCTGGCTGAGTATGCTCACAAAAGCCCAAGTTTGATCCCTGCACTAAATAAAGGAAGCACAGCAGCCCACACCTGCAGTCCCAACAGAGATAGAGGCAGGATCAGGAACTCAAGACCAAGTGAAGCCCAAGGCAAAAGATGGGTCTAAGAAGTCAGTGTTCATTCTCTCCTGGTCTGAAGACTGGGAAGGTTTTGAAGAAGCAGCATCTGAAACGGTCGTCCAGGCCTTGGCAACTCCTGCAGAGCCTCAGTGTCTCAGCACAGTCCCTATTTTCTGCTTGTAACTATCCATCCATCTAGGAGTGCTTTAATGCCAACCTCCTCTTGTTCTGTAAAGATCCAAAGTGCCATCTCACTCACTGCACACCACACTGCAATAAAAAATGTTTGCTGAATGAATAGAGAGGAGCAGGCTGTGTGTTACTAGGAGAAAAGTAAGAACCATGTGTGGCACCAACAGAAACACCAATAGCACAAGGCCAGACTGTGGTTTCATCCACAGTGGGACCCCCTGAATGTCAACCTGAGGTCTTTAACCTGGAGACTGACTAGATGTATGGACCGTTGACATAACTGTGTCCAGGCAACCATTTGCCCAATTAGAACAGAGGACAGGCAAGAGCCTGGGGTCATTCTAGTCAATCCTGAGCACCCACTGTATACTAGGCCTCTGCCATCTCTGAGCTTGATGAGAGATGATAATTTCAGTGTGTTTATGGAGACACAAAGTATCAGAGAAGACCTGATGGCATTTGGGCTGGGTTTTTTGCTTGTTTGTTTTCTTTTGTTTTTCTGAGACAGGGTTTCTCCTGTAAAATAGAGCTCTGGCTGTCCTGGAACTTACAGGCTAGACTTGAACTCACAGGGCTTCACATGTCTCTGCTTTCCAAATGCTGGGATTAAAGACATGGACCACCATGCCCACTTGAGCTGGTTCTTAAAGGATAAGTTAGCAACTCGAAGAGCTGGAGGACGAAAGCCCCTGACAAACGGCACAGCCAGAGGCACTGAGGAGCAAGTGGAAAACCATGAGACTAGAAGTATGGTCACCTAAGCCCTTACATAGTATTTTTGGTTTGTTTTTGAGTCAGGATCTCACTATGTAGCCCTGGCTGGCCTGGAACGTGCTGTTTATTTTACACTGACCTTGAACTCACAGAGACTGTAGGTAGGGGCATGTGCCTTTAATCCCAGGATTTGGCAGGAAGAGAAGAATTTGAGTTTGGGGATAGTGAGACTGTCTCAAAACCAACCAAACAGACACACACACACACACACACACACACACACACACATCTTTTGAACCAGGAAGACAGGCTCTATGCTGCAATAGCAGCCAACGGACCCATCCTCCTTCCTGAAAAAGCTGAGGTTTATAAACCCATCAAGATGGGTAGTAATGTTTACCTGCATAGCGTCCTTAACCCAAAGACTCACCATCAACCTGCCAACTAGACTTGAGAGGAAATAAAAATCATGACAAGAATCTTGGGTCAGGGGACTTTTGTATGAGGAACACCAAATGCGAACCAACATAAACAGTCCTCAGGAGAAGTACTAGTTAATTATGATGCTGGGAAGGAGGGGGTTCTACAGTGGACTAGGGTACGAGGAAAAGGCTGTGCAGTGTGGACTGGGGCCTTCTAACTGGATGTATGGCCATGGGTGGATTACTTCCTCCTTTATACTTCAGATTCCCTAGACTTGAGTAAAGGAGCTTAGAATTCTGGGTGAACCAAGTCTCTCTGTAGCTTTGTATTCTCAAGAGTCCTCCAACTCTTTCCTGCCTTGGGCACGTGCTTCGTGAATACCAGAGTAAATGATCTCTCAATTTACAAGAGTGGAAACTAGGGCCTGGAGGGTTTGGCAGCTCAGACCTAAGAAGCCAGTTAGTGCTGGGAGGCTCTAAGCAGAGTGGTCTGGATTTTTCTGGGTTCCTGCCTACAGGTAACAAAAGGTAGAGGAAGTGAGTGGTCGATCCTCAACGTGGCTAGAAATGACGGAAGAAAGGAAGTCCTTTTATAGAGGGCTCCAGTTTCCTGACCTGATGTGGGCTCTTGTCTTGGATCGAGCAACCTGTCTTAATTTGCCATTTGATAAAACGTGGACAGTAACAGGACCCGGTATATAAAGATCGCTACGTGAAGTTTAAGAGTGCCTAGTAAACAGGAGGAGCTCAATAAATGCTCTTGCCAGTGGCACTTCAGCACGCCAGCACATCCACTCTAGCCCAAGTGGTAATTTTCCGGGATAGCTTAAAAAGCCTGAGCGCGATAGAAACACGTGGGGAGTGAGTACTAGGAGCAATAGTGACCAATTCCTAACAGTCCTCGATTTCCAGGCAGATACAACGTGCTCCACACTGGCAAGGCCCACGTGAGGCCTCCGAGGCCCGGGTTCGGGCTTCACTTTGACCTTGGACCAGCCTCGTTCCTCACGGAGACTTTGCCTTTCTCATCTGGAAACCGCTGCGTGAGGCCCACTAAAGGGCCCATAGCCACTCTGAGGAAACCACTGGACCGCGTGTCTCTCTCAGGCCCCCGCCGGGCGGTCTCCATGGCAGCGCTCGACTCACCTTCCTGCCGGCAGTAGGACATGGTTGTTCCCAACGCTCACAGCTCGCAGAGGCAACGGGCGCGGCTGTAGCGGATACACCTTCACACCGTGACCTCCCTCGCCACTCCTCAGGCCTGGCGGGTGGCACTGAGGCCCGCACGGACCCGCCCCCTCCAGGCCTGCCCGCAGCGTGCCTGCCTCCGCGCGTCCTAAGCACCAGCGCCGCTCCTCAGCCGAAAACTACATTGACCAGCAGCCCTTGCGCCCATCCAACTAGGCCGATACTACATTTCCCAGAAATCTTGCAGCGCGCACGCGCACCAGTGAAATTTTTTTTTTTGTAATTTTGAGTCGAAAGTGTCGGACGTCGGACTACATTTCCCAGCAGCCCTTGAGACGCGCACGCGCGGACAACTTGAGGCTTAGGCGGGGCGGTAACTCTTGTCCTGAGTCCCGCCAGGTCCTGGATTCCACGCGAAGTCTTGCAGCTCTGTAGCAGACAGTAGGTCACTGCATTCTGCGTTCCGGTCGTCAGCCCAATTTCTAGCGGAACAGAGCTAGACGGCAGCAGCGAACCAGGCCCACCATGGCAGCGAACGTGAGTGTTTCCTGATCCCCAGGCTACAACCATCATCCGGGCCTCTTTTTCCCTGGGTCCGCGCTGGGTTCTTGCGCGGTGCGACCCCAGTGGGTGCGGCTGCCCCTAGCTCCCTGAGCTCCTTCTTCTCGGGCCGCGCGTTTGTGGGACTCAGCTCTAAGTCGAGTCCGCTCGTGCACGGCTGATTTTTCCACTCCTAGTTTCTCTCTGGGCCCCCTGGGTATATGAAACTTGTGAAACTTGGGGAACTGAAGGACCACGGGGAAAGTGTTTGTCGGTGAGCAGATTTGATGAGGCTATCCTGCCCAGGTGGAGCTGTCCAGCAAATGCTGCTTTTGTCTCCGCTCCCTAGGGGGTGTGTACTCCTAGGCTGTGATTACTGTAGCAGGATGAGCCTGACTGGATGACCTGGAGAGGGAGGCTTTTCACTACTGCCGGGTTCCTGGTGCACTGATTTTGTTAGAGATCCTGGCTGAGGATAGTACCCCCAGACCTCTGGCCTCTTCCTACTGGAACTAGTCCTTAACTTTCCTAGTGAATCTTAACATTCATTTAACAAACGGAGCAGCACCACCTACTAGGAGACTGGGTGTGGGAGAAGCTGGTGACTCACCAATGCTTCTGGTGAAAGCGGCTCTGAAAGCCAGCTCAGGAGCACTGCCAGCCCCAGGCACACCCTCTCTCCCTCCTTGGAGTAGAGTGTCATTGCAGCCCTCCTTAGGCCTGTTACACCCTCTTCCCAGGACCCTCCTCTGTCTGGCATACTTCTTGGCCTCCTACACCTCCTTGGAAGCCAGAGTTTGTTTCACCCACTGTCCAAGCAATATCTGCTTGGCATATTGTCTGGCCCTGGAAGGGGAGGAGAACCAAAGGTTAGGAATGCTGCACTGGAGCCAGAGGAGAAGGCAACCAGCAGGCCAGCCTGTCAAGAGCAGGCAAACCCCTTCTGATCCCTATCATCAACGTCATATTTTACAGTCCCCCAGCAGAAGACACCTGCTTGGGTGCTCTTAGCCAGCTTGGCTTGCTACATGATCAGCTTGGGAAGGTGCTGGTGAGGGCAGGCTTTGGAGTCACACCTGGAGGCAAATCCAGATTCTTCCACTCTTAACTCCTCTGGGTTTATTCTCTCATGGGATAAGTTACTTTGAAATTTGAGAAAGGTTGCTGGGCACAGAGCCTGGTACATGGGAGGTACTTAATCCTTGAAAAAGTCACTTATAGGCTAGTACACACAGTCCTGCTAGACAGAGACCATCTTGGGTCTGACTCTCACACCAACAAACATAGACACAATAGACACAATGGGGTGTCTTCAGTAAGCATGCCTTTGTCCATCTATTGTTACATTACTTTCCTGGGAAGACTTGAACATTCATTCATGTCAGGATAACCATAGACCAACGGAGCAATTCCACTAACTCCATCTTGGGAAACCAAGAGGTTATTGGGCTTACTTGCAGGAGCATGGGTATCTCCAGAGTCCCACGCCAGCATGGGTGACTGCCTCTGGAAGGCTGCCTAGATGGAGATGTGTGCCCTCCCTCCCATTAGCCCTCTGCCTCCTGTATCTTCTAGCAGTACTACACACTGCTGGGGGTAGGACATAGGAGGGGGTGAGAGGCTAGAATCTCAGGTGAGGGTATAAAGATCCTCTTCTACTCTTCCAGGGAACATACCTAATCATGTGAGGGGCTCATTTGGACAATCTAAGCTGTTCTGATTTCAATATGACAATGGCTATGTCATGCCTAGGGACAGTACCAGATCCATACGATAGCTGAGTCACCAGGCAGGGTAAGCAAGAAATTCTTAAGACAATGAGTGGAACAAAAGCACCAGAATTCAGGATAACAACTTTCCTGTCAGGTAGGTATTCTCACCAGCAAGTGAGGAACCGGGACCAGAGAGGTGGAGCACATGTTACCAGGCTCACATAGCAACAGAGCTGGGATTCCAGGCCACTTTCCAGGCCCAGTGTGTTCCCTCCCATTGCTTCATCGCTTATTGATTCTGAGCCCAGTATGCTTGAAGTGGAATATGTTACTGAGGATACATAAATGTACACATGCGTGTGTGTATATATATATAGGTGCTATTTCCCACCTCACCTCTCTCCCAGCTGGAGCAAGATCTTCCTGGCCTCCTCCTTCCTGGCCTTAAGGGGAGTTAGTAGGAACACAGGTCTCCTTTTCCATTGTTCAGCTTGAATTTTAGCTAAGCAACGAAGAAGACAGTCTAGGGTAGAGGGGCCTGCCTGGGTTGAATACACCCAACAACTACTTACTAGTTGTTGATCTAGACAGATAACCTAAGTAGTGAGTCTCGATTTCTTCATCTGTGAAATGGGTATTGGTAGCCTCTTCACCCTTGAGCCAGCCCATGATTGGCTTGTAACAAATGAGTATGCCACTGTGGGCATCCTGCTGACTGATGATCACCTTCTTGTCTGCAGTGATTGTCCCTACTGAGTTTTATATGGTATTGTTCTGGATACAGTAGGTGTCCTCAGCAGGCCTGAGTCAACAGTGGAGAGCAGCCAGAAGAAATGGCATTAGCTATGCTCAAGGATTCTGTCTCAAATCCGTCCTCTGATCCTGGTCAGGAAGGGGTCTGGCTCTCTGAGGTGCCTGCCAGGTGACCACTTTGCATCTCTGTGACTTTCATCCACACCCATAGTCTGGGTGGCAGTTCTAGTTTCAGTTATGGAGAAATCTGATCATGTTCCTATTAGCTGTAACTCCCACAGGTGCCTATGAGGCCCCAGCATGGAACCACCACCCTAGGCTTTGGATTTTCACCCTGAACTTTACCCATGAGGAAATGGAGGCCCACAACTAGTGAGTGGCAGAGCCAGGATTCGGGCTTAGTCTCGGTCACTGGTGATGAGCACTAGACATACTTCAGACAATACCGAGCTGGGTGAAGCCTGCTCCACTGACCTGTGGCCTGTGGAAAGCTGCCTGGGCATGCCCGTCTGCTCTGTCTCTTCCAGCCCTTCACAGCCAGAGAAGACAGCCTGCTGCTCCACACCATTGCTCCACAGTCCCCTGCTGAGGGGACCCTGAGGTCTGCCTCTATGCTTCCTCCTCCAAGTAGCCTGTCTTGATGCCCTAGCTGGAAGGTGCACCCAGCACTGACACTCAGCACAGCCTCCTGGTAGTTCTTAGCCCCAAAAGGCCACTTACCACTCTCACAACACAGCACAGTCCTCAAGAGACCCAGCCGTTACTTCTCAAATTTAATCAAAAATACATTTCTAGCTGCTTTGTAAAATAGCTTGTTGGTGTCTTTAACATATGCTAACTTATAGTCCAGAAATTCTGTGCCAAAGGATAGTTGTCCACCAATGTCTGTGGGGAAGAGTCTCTTTTGGGAGTCTCCTTGGATACCAAAATTATTTCTCAAAACTCATCAACCCTGTCAATTTTCCCCTCAGTATTCCAGTACTGGCAGCAGGAAAGAACACATCAAAGTGACATCTGACCCCCAGCCAGGCTTCCTGGAGCGGCTGAGTGAGACTTCTGGCGGGATGTTCGTGGGGCTGGTGACCTTCTTACTCTCCTTCTACTTAATTTTCACCAACGAGGTAAGATGCAGGCTGAGGATCTAATGGCTGGGCTCTGAAACAAAGGGCCTAGGTCGTACAGGAGGGAAAGGGGTGCTGAGGTAAGCCGAAACACCTCAGTGTAAGCCAGAGGGGCAGTGAGTCAGTTCACACCCCTGAAAACCTGCTTCAGGCATGGCTGCATTCAGGTACTCACACTGGGTGACTGTGAATCTCTGCCTCTTTATTGGGACATTTTTCTTGGGCAGCCCCTTCGCTTGTGGGAGCAGATATGGACTCAGCATTTCCAATCTTACATCCAGTTTAGACTTAGAGAAAAAAGGAACCATGAATTTATTAATCAGTTTAACAACCATCTCTCAGGTTCTTGGCTTAGGACTCAGTCTTTTGAACCAGGACAGGACTCTGCCCCACCTGAAGTATATGGCCTGTCGGGGGAGGGGAGTAATCAGGAGATGCTGGAAAAGGTCCCCTGCCACCCTAGGTTCTCCAGGGGCTGCAGCTGGATATCTCCTTGAGGCCAAGGCCAGGCACCTTTGAGTGAGCCAGCTGAAGTGTGTCAGCTAAGCTGAAAACACGTCTGGTTGGTTAGGCCTGGACCACATGATTTGGACAGTGATTCAGATTGGCCTTTGTAAACCACATGGATTGGGAGCCAGTGGGGTGGAAGGCAGAGGGAAGTGGAGGCGCAGGACTAGTATAGGGAGACACAGAGCTTTTCCCCAGCTTCAGGCAGTCTGAGATTAGCAAGGTCTTCCTGAGAAAGCAGGAATCTTGGGTTCTAGTCTCCAGTCTGCAGTTGCTAGACCTCAACATCTCTGTTCACTGAGGCCCGGCCTTCGCTGTGCCCATAGCAAGGAGGCAAGCATCACCTAAGCTGTTGAAATCCCCTCTTCTACTTCTGACAGGGCCGAGCGCTGAAGACAGCCACCTCACTTGCAGAAGGGCTGTCACTCGTGGTGTCCCCTGACAGCATCCACAGTGTCGCTCCGGAGAATGAAGGGAGACTGGTACACATAGTTGGGGCCCTGCGGACTTCCAAGGTAGGC